AGGCCACCAGTGCTAAAACACTCCACATGAGACATCTCCTGGCCAAACTGGCTCTACAAGCATGCATGAATTAAGCCGCAGCTACAAGGAAAGCCCAGTCTGATGCTGTTGCACTGCCACAGCTCCCACTGAAGCAGGTGTTTCAAACAGCAGGAAAAGCAGCAATGCAAGAGCTGCTCCCTTTGCCTTCAGTGCTGGAGCAACTGCTTGTTTATGCTACCTACGTGGAAAGGCTGGGCTTCCAACACAGCCTGGGTGAGGTCCAAACAACAGCTACACCCTTTTGTGCTCATAATGCAAAGCCTGCAGTGCTGCATGGCCCTTGCTTGCTTTGGCTACCTTGCTTTGGCAACACCAAGTGTCTGCCCCAAGGCACGGCTCCTGCGGAGCCAAGGCTGAGGAAAGGACGGGCAGCAAAGGGACCTGCTGCTTCTATCAAATGCCACAGCAGCACTAGGGCCTTGGATCTCACCCTGCTGGGACTAGGCAAGATGAATTTTGGAGCTGCTATTGCACAACATAGTGAAACTTCAAGGAACAGCACTGAGCGCCACATGGGAACTCGGACAGTGGGTTTAAATAACAAAGAGGGATTTCTGATAGAGCCTATATCAGCCATCGGAAAACAGGGTGAGAACAGAAAGCCAAATGAGACAGTTAACTGCAAGTATCACCCAGGAAGGTGAGGGCCAGCAAAGCTGCCAGATATATCATCAGCAGTAGAGTCAGGGCACCCATGCGCTGCCTGGCCAGGCAGTGCCACAGGCTGCCCACAGCTGCACAGCAGAAGACCTGCCCCATAGCTTCACCTGCCTCAAATGGCACCGGGCACTGCCTCACTCCTTACCACTGCCACTGCAGGCAGTCATCAGTGGAGGTTTGACTCCTAAAACTGATGCCATCCTCCAGAAAATTACAGAATGACATCTTATAGTCTCAAACATTATGCTTCCAAAAAGGAAGGACCTGCACAGCAACAGATCAGAGGGTGAAACCGGTACCTCCCTGCTGGCAATGCAGCAGCCTCATTCACTAGGAAAATGAGCAAGGCTGTTTGAAGGAGAGGAATGGAGAAGGGAAGGGCTGTGCTCAGCCACATAGCTCACCTGGAATGTGAAACATCACCATTTTTCTGAAGTACAAATAGTTGTACTCATTGCTCATATTGCTTCATTCCAGAGGATAGGAACTTTAATTCCTTTTTTATTCCCAGAACTATCACCTGTATGACATGCAAATTTCTGCTGACAGCTTCTGTTCCCCAGGCATATTCAGCTCACTGAAAGTTTAGTATAACTATATGAAGAAGAAAAAGTAAAAAGAAAAAAAAAACTCTCTCAAAAAAAAAGCGTTACATCCCCTTCCACTGACATACACAATACGAAAGCGGTTAAGTTCCATTCACTTGGATGGTAACAACAGTTTATTTTTACAAGCTTACCTAAAAGGACACCAAGAGGGATCACGTTAGCCATAGTTTCACAGTACATGAATTAAGCAGAAATAAGTTGCAGTCTTCTACAAAAATACATTACATGTATTACATGATCTTTACATGATCATAACATTGTAAATAATCTAAAAACATAGACAAACCAAGCAATCCTACTACGTGACAGAAAGGCTTATGAAAAAAACAAAAAATTAGCTCATAAAAAAAATTAAACTAATTTTTAGAAGCTATTTGCAAACATCTATATTGATTTTTCAAAATTACTAGTTGGTAAAGCAGACAATATGTTGTTATATTTTCTCTAAGATCAGAGGACATCATATCATCATCTATTAACAGTTAACCAAATGGAGCATATGAAGACCAAGACTCCATCTTCTTCCTTGATACTACACACCTGTACAAAACATCCACTTTCCATCTCTAAGTGTTCACTTGTACTGAGACATATCTGTAACCGTGAACAAAGACTGTTGCCATATTTTAAACTGATGAGTGAAATAGCTGGCTAACCACATTTTAAACTGATCAGAAAAATAACTGGCTTCTGGAAATTTGGTTTTGATTAGCATCCATATGAAACAAGATGCAGTGCAAAGTGAATCCTTCCCAATCAAGATCAGCTTTCCACTTGATATTCCACCCACTAGGACAAAATCCTTTCCAGTTTAAGCCAGACTTTACATGGATTACGCAGTTATATGTAGGAAGAAACTGCTGTAGGCAGACAGCTCACACTGATCATGGGAAGAGAGAACCTTTTTTGGAGACAGTAGAACTCCAAAGTCCATTAGTCCAGTTAACAATTTATGCCTATCATACTATTACAGAACCATCATCTAGACTCTTCAGGAACCCATCCTCACACATCACTATTTGGAGAAGAAAGAAAAGGCGCTAGCTTGCATCTAAAAAGAAAACAAAATCCACTCTTTGAAGGCATTGTACCCGATGGTTTAATATAGTTCTCCTTGTCATTTACTGCAGCCTTACAAAACAGGAACGTGCAAGGTAACACAGGCTTGGAAAAAAACTGCTGTGGAACATTGTTCATGCTATCAGATACATCAAAAGATTTATATAAAAGAATTCTGAATATTTATCCAAGCAGAGCTCGAGAAGCTCTCTTTCCAGAAGCACGAACCTTTTTTTTTCTTTTTACTTTAGAGAAAGTTAAAATGCTTTAACATCACTGTTAGAAGTATTGTACAAGCAACTTGATCCACCAGAAGTAATTTTATTTGATAATAATACACTCTCTTCATTAAATTAAATTTTCAAACAAACATTTTTTTAACAAAGCCTCTCAGTTCAGTCTCAGGTACAACTCCACTTACAAACCATCTCAGGTTAATGCCTTATAGCTTCTCCTGAATAAAAATAGATGTTGAAAGTTACATAAGTGAATGACTGAGGCCATCAAAAATTATTCCTTAGCATAATCATCTTGATAGCTATTTCTAGAAAAAAAAAAATAAAAAATAAAAAAAACCCAAAACCAAAACGAATAGGAGTCCAGAATGCACTTCCCTGCAGCTGTAGAAAGAACTTGTACTTCATCCTTTAACTGATCATCAAACATTTTCCTGTGGAACAAAATTATTGAAACAAGGAATTGCTAAGGTTTAATTTTCTCATGAATTAAAAAAAACCCAGTGATAATTCAACCAACAGACATGCTACACTTTAATATATAGCAGTAAATTAGACTTCAAATATCACGAACTACCATACCATGAAAGTAGCTGGGGACTACAAATGTCAGAATACCATGTAGTCACAGCTGTATGCGACAGAAAAATTTTCTAAAGATAGGATAATTTTTCAGATCTATGAAAAGTGAGAAGCTAAAAAAGTCCCCTACTGCAGTGTTTTTCAACCTACAACCTATGGACTATTAGTAAGGCAAGCTTTAAGATAATGAAGGATGCAGTCCCACGTAAATTTAGAAAATATTCAAACCTTTTTCCTGATGAGTTGTGCTACTGTTATCAGTTAAGCTTTCCCTCCTACCAATACATACATACAACCCTCTCATGGAGGAACCTCTGATGACAACTTTTGCACCCAAAAGAAAATTATGTCTTAACGAGATCAAAGCCGAAACCTTAAAGGGTCTGCAAATCAAAGGCTGGAAAAAACTTAATATACATCTGGAAAGGACAACAGTGCAACACATTTTATAGGGTACAGCCTACCTTTACATCTAGCACATCCAACCTAATTTTTAGTTTCAAAGAGATACAGGTAAACCATCAAGTACTACGATAACAGATCCTGACTGAGAAGTTTTCTTAGAAACTACTCAGCTCAACCACTTTTTTCCTTTCTTCTCTGTGCTACAGCTACAATAGAAAACTGTTGAAGTTCAGTCCTAAGGTAATATAAGTATATAAATATACATTTTACATCTGTTTGTGCTGGCACTAAAGAAGTCAGCAAACTAGGTATTTTACCTACCCTAAATATCCAAGACCTAAAGTAAACTAGCTCTTATGGTTACACAATAGATGACCTGCTCTCTTCTAGAGATACTGGTCTGGAAAGGCACGTCCTTGAGTAATGTGCATTTTCAGCTGTCCTGCACAATATGACAGACACAACACAGCAGAAGACAAGGAAACTGGTGACAGAGACTATCTGGGAGAAAGAATAAACTTCCTCTTTTATTTACTCACACGTGCTTAAACCCCCTATTAGTACTGAACTGTACATTTGTGAAAATTAATAAACCAACTGGCAAGAAGGATAGCATTCACAGAAGATGCGGAATAATGTAAAAATGTGAATATCTTTAATGGAGTCCTTTCCACATTAAAGAATCAGGCATCATTAACACTCTAAAAAGTGATCAGCAATTCTCAGTTTGTATTTGTGGCTGCATTATGTACCAAATTAAATAGATATGTTGTGCAATTTCTTGTGCAACACATATGAGTAAATGAACGAAGCTATTTAATTCCCCATAAATGATACTGTAAATTTCCATAAGCCTTACCAAATTTCACAAGACAACTGTGGAGCAATATTACTTTGAGAAGTCTTAAATGGCTGCTGCCTTTAAAATTTCTGATATGTTTCAACTTGATCTGAGCTTACCAATGCTGGATCAGCCAGCAAAGCAAACTTCATCCA